GTGAGTCACATTAACTCATTTATGTTAGTCTCATTAACTCATCACTGTTCGTCTCATTAACTCATCACTGTGAGTCACATTAATTCATCACTGTGAGTCACATTAACTCATTTATGTTAGTCTCATTAACTCATCACTGTTCGTCTCATTAACTCATCACTGTGAGTCTCATTAACTCATCACTGTGAGTCACATTAATTCATTTATGTTAGTCTCATTAACTCATCACCGTTAGTCACATTAACTCATCACCGTTAGTCACATTAACTCATCACTGTGAGTCACATTAATTCATCACTGTTAGTCACATTAACTCATCACTGTTAGTCACATTAACTCATCACTGTTAGCACATTAACTCATCACTGTGAGTCACATTAATTCATCACTGTGAGTCACATTAACTCATCACTGTGAGTCACATTAATTCATCACTGTTAGTCACATTAACTCATCACTGTGAGTCACATTAACTCATTTCTGTTAGTCTCATTAACTCATTTCTGTTAGTCTCCTTAACTCATCACTGTTAGTCTCCTTAACTCATCATTGTTATTCAAATTAACTCATCACTGTTAGCCACATTAACTCATCACTGTTAGTCACATTAACTCATTTGTGTCAGAAAAGTATTCTTTCTACTTGCTCCTGGACAAAGATTGTATATAAAAGTTCATATCACATCAACACCTTCCTGGTTACGTTTCCATTTAATCTTTCTTGTTCACTTACGTACACCAAACACTTTCAACATCACATCGCTCATTGAACATAATATTTCTCATTAAGATCTTAAAACTTCCCAATAACCTTCATCAACCTGCATGTCTCCTAAACTTGTGTTGGGATTTTGTCTGTCACTTGCTGTCATGTTGTACGAACCCCCTGCGACATGTAAATATAAGGATGCAGGGATTCCGCTATTCAGAGATGGAAAATTCACAATAGGAAAGCTGAAGTCATTACGCTTGTCATACAGCTTGGTGGAATGCTGCCTCAGTACGTTGTGTTGTAGGAAAGGATCGAGGTATGCGGTTGATGTAGAACAGGCTGCGGAATCCTTGACCTGCAGTTGTGGTTGTTGTCATATTGCTGTCGATGCAGTAACATCGTCCTGCTCACAAGGTCAGAAAAAACGCCTTCCTATTCACAAAACACACAGTAATATGTTCCTGCTCACAAGGTAAGAAAAAACTCCTTCCTGTTCACAAATTCACATGAAAATCTTCCTCTTCACAAGGTTTGAAAAAACTCCTTCTTGTTCAAAAAGTCATAGTAACATCATCCCGCTCACATGGTCAGAATTTTTTTTTTTTTCTTGTCCACAAAATCAGAAAAAAATCTTCATATTGACCAGGTCTTTAAGCCTCCTTATTGTCAAACAGTTAAAAATGCCTTTCCTGTTCACAAGGTCAGAAAAGGCCTTCCGGGTCACAAGGTAAAAAAGGCCTTCCGGGTCACAAGGTCAGAAAAGGCCTTTCGGGTCACAAGGTCAGAAAAGGCCTTCCGGGTCACAAGGTCAAAAAAGGCCTACCGGTTCACAAGGTCAGAAAAGACCTTCCGGTTCACCTTGTCACATTGTCCTTTTGTCATGTAATAACATATTAACAAACAATAACATACAAGTAATATATTATGCACATGCACCTGTCGATTTTTATATCTCCACATAATTCGCTAACCTTTTACCTAATCCTCGGCCACACAGCTACTATACACATCCTTAACGTGCTTAAGATATAGTATCAATCATTCATGATCTGCAGAAAAAAACCCATATGCGCCATTTTGCATCTGCGGTAAGTTTAAGTTCTATCTGCAGAAAATAACGTTTAACCTGAGATGTGTAACTACACTAACTAACGTTTAACCTGTGATATATAACTACAGAAACTAACGTTTAACATGAGAGATATAACTACAGAAACTAACGTTTAACCTGAGATATATAACTACAGAAACTAACATTTAATCTGAGATGTATAACTACAGAAACTGACGTTTAACCTGAGATATATATCTGCAGAAAATAACGTTTAACCTGAGATATATAACTACAGAAACTAACATTTAACCTGAGATGTGTAACTATACAAACTTACGTTTAACCTGAGATGTATATCTACACTAACTAACGTTTTATCTGAGATCTATAACTACAGAAACTAACGTTTAACCTGAGATATATAACTACACAAACTAACGTTTAACCTGAGATATATAACTACACAAACAAACGTTTAACCTGAGACTGTGATGTATAACTAAATGTTAAAAAAACAGCATGCTTTTTATAGATGTATGTATACTTAAATAACGTAACGTAGGAAATGTTATATATTTGAAAAACCACTAGAAAATACCAATATGCGAACATAATGCAAACTTCAATACAACACGGGCAAATAATTTTACACGAAGACTCCTTAAAAAGTACAAGGAGAATAAGACCATGCTCTCCGCAAAAGTAAGCGTCTTCTGCTTCATTGACGACAATCGCCATGTAAACTTTGATAAATCCAAGTAAGTAATGTCACGTTCTCTACGAGAACAATCTATACAACAATTACACCAACAGGCAAACTAACGAGTATCAAACATGTCCAGCCCCATATCGCACAAAGAAATAGAATATTTCTCAATGAGATCCCATCCTTAGGACGGACCGCACATCTTCCCCGTTTTTATCATTAGCATGCATCTTTTAAAACCTTCTTTCATGAGTTTGTCCAGCTAACTTTTAACATTGATGTTACTACAGTAGGTTTCCTTTCAGAAAATTCACATATATACCAAACATCACAGTAAATACCAAAATCAATCACCCGTAACAAAAATCAACAAAACTATCTACTTCCTGCAGCCATAATGTATTCAACATGTATTAGTGGTGTTTATATTGACCCGCTCTTTGTATGAACATTGACCAGAAACAGACAAGGCGAAGGTATTAAAACATAGAAATATTGCGAACTGCTGTCAACTTTTTTCTGGTCTTGTGTGACATAAAATTGTTTGTAAAATCACTCAATGTATAATTCTTAGTTTATTTTAATTCAGCCAAAGGGATGTACCGGAGTAGAATATCTAGATTTTTCCCTTTATAAGTAACAAGGAGAGCATTCGGTAAACACTGAAGTAAATAGCCCGTGTCAATACAAATGTATAAGTATATGCTGAAGAATTACACTGCAGCATACAGTTGTCATGTCCTTCTAGGATAAAAAAAACAACCCAGATTGGGTGTTTCACTGACCTCAAACTCTTAATTCGATAAAATTGATTTTTCGATGCTGTAGACACATATTCGAAAAAAACCCAAACTCTTTAGTTTCTTTCGATTTTAAAACTTAATTCCTCAATATGTAACGAGACATTCATATTTAGCGAAATGGTGACGTCGATATTTTATATCCTTTGTTCACGGTTTCTTTTCAGATTCAGTAATAAGAAAACATGATTTATTTCCGAATGTTGACATTTGCAACAAAACAACCTAAATAGTTCCACATAGTAATAACGATATCAATCCAGGGGGACATTTTTTTAAAAACTGGCTGTAAACATGGATAACCTGATTATAACCAGGTTAGAAAATTAACTAACTTCCATGGTTAGTTATTAACATCGTATAACGTGTCCGGTGAAAAATAACTTCTATAAGGATACGTGGACCCTGTCTTTACGTAATGGTCTGACAAACAGCTAACATTTTACCGTGTAACTCGGCTAGTACTGACCAGGACAACTTTAATCCGGGGTGATCACATACTGAATTAAATTACATCTCAGTATAATGGTTTTTAATTTTCCATCAGTGTGAACAAGCAAATCACGATATTACTTTTTGGACAGTTAAAAAGCCTGCAACAATTTAATTCTTTCACGGAAGATGCACACTCCACTAACCATTTACCTCAGCTTACCATTAATAACGACTGACTTTTACTGACCATTGATAACGATGACCTTAACTTACCATTAAAACCGATTAACTCCATTTACCATAAACACAGGTTACATGTATCTCAATTTACCATTAACACCGATTACCTCAACTTAACAAAAATACCGATAACCTCCACTTTCCCTCGATATCACTTTTCCAAACATCAAAATCTGACAATCGTTTACTCTCGATATTATTTTCCTAACACATCTGACAATCGTTTAACCTCGATATTATTTTCCTAACACAAATATTCTGACAATCGTTTAACCTCGATATTATTTTCCTAACACAAATATTCTGACAATCGTTTAACCTCGATATTATTTTCCAAACACAAATATTCTGACCATCGTTTACTCTCGATATTATTTTCCAAACACAAATATTCTGACCACCGTTTAACCTCGATATTATTTTCCTATCATATAAGCTTACTATCGTTTACTCTCGATATTATTTTCCAAACACAAATATTCTGACCACCGTTTAACCTCGATATTATTTTCCTATCATATAAGCTTACTATCGTTTACTCTCGATATTGTTTTCCTAACACAAATAATCTGACCACCGTTTACTCTCGATATTGTTTTCCTGACACAAATATTCTGACAACCGTTTACTCTCGTTATTATTTTTCCAAACACAAATAAGCTTACTAGCGTTTGCTCTCGATACTATTTTCCTAACACAAATAATATGACCACCGTTTACTCTCGATATTGTTTTCCTAACACAAATAATATGACCACCGTTTACTCTCGATATTGTTTTCCTGACACAAATAATCTGACCACCGTTTACTCTCGATATTGTTTTCCTGACACAAATATTCTGACAACCGTTTACTCTCGTTATTATTTTTCCAAACACAAATAAGCTTACTAGCGTTTACTCTCGATATTATTTTTCCAAACACCAATAAATTTTACTATTAAATACCCTGAATATCACAATATCTATTAACACTAGCGATACAACATTGGTTACACGACCAGGAATGTCGTCAAAATGATTTTTCCAGACATCACGAGACATTCATACTTACCCAAAGTAACCATAGGCAGATGTTAGTCCTAATAGAAACACAAGCAATGTCCAGTATTGAATCGTCGGTAATCGCATGATTTCTTTGAGGGCTGCCTAGTCATGACGCTGGATCAGTATAAACATGCCTTCGGACACTTTAGAGGAGAAGTAATCCACGACACACACTGGAGAACAAATTCCAAGACAAATAATGATATCCGACAAATTTAAAAACACATGTTGCGTCGTTTTCTTATCCATGAACCATAGTTATTGTCGCTGATTGGACGGACACGTCGGGATGTTTAACTGTTGCGGAGACTAGGTCACCTGTAACAAGAAATGACTTAGTATTTGGTAACGTTGGTTACAAGTCCTTGCTGGTTTTCTTAATAATAGTCTTATGTCACACGTAGAAATCTACCAGAAGCATGTGGTGTTATGTGTGTGTACTAGCTGGGCCTAGTCTGTGCCGCGTCCAACCTTCATAACTTTCCTTCTATCGGAACAGAAATGTATGTACAGATGAATCAAATTTGATTAAATCAGATGTTACGGTGTTACATTTTCAGAACAGATGGTTTCCCTAACGATGACATTGGGAAGGAGGGTAGTGACGTGCGCCGTACCGAGGTACCGCTCTGTAGCCAGTCTGGTCCCCACAGTGAGGAACACTACCGCGGCAGGTAGTATATACCGCTCTGGCCGGAGACTTATAGGTCAGATCTCACGCACACGAGCAGATAAAGGGACCGTCCTCTACACTTACATAGTGGGTGTGGGTCATACCACAGGGCACGGGCAGTTCAGTATAGCGGTAGTTTTACTAACTCTGTACAGGTCGACATCGTTTCTGGAAAACATACCAATATTATATGTGTATACTGAGACTGGAAATATTTCTCCAAGGTACGTTTGCTCAAGTTATTCGTGGGATCGGTCGACACGACGGATCGAAGTTCTGTTTGTATTACCTTTAACATACGAGATTTTACACATTCTACTTTTATCTTATATAACGTCTATCGACGACGCCGTAGAACACAACATGTGTCATCGATAGTCTTTATAACAAGTCTATAATAAATGAAAATTCTACACGGCTTGGTTCTTCTTTAAATATATAGTACATCAAAAATTTTAAATGATGGCGTGTCTGAAAACGCTGAATTTTCACTAACATTATATTTTGTGTATCATAAACATGATGATTTGTTTAACTATGTCAAGTGTAAGGTGAAATTTGTGTACAGATTAAGTATTCATAAGTTAGATATAATAATAAGATATTGCAATAATACTATTTAACATCTATCTGTATCCCTGTATGATAATCACCAAATTTTAGAGATTCAATGTTTACTGTTAAAAATATGTTTACTTTGAAAAGTTTGAGATTTTGGTTTCGGTGTAGAATGCTACTGAAAAAATGTGAGATTTGCTTACGTTTGCATAAATTTAATGTTATATACCGTATTGTGCCTCGGAATAGATTAAAAATGGTTTGTTATCAACGACAGACCCGATTTACGTCTATAGTCATAGAATTTGTTCTGGGAAATCTGCATTATCTGACTTTCCTAATCTAAATGAAAACAAACACGGTGAAAAGGCGATGGTGGGGTCATAGGTCAGTCATGGTGTAGAAAATTTTGAAAAAATGATAAATGAATATTTGATTATAATTTTACAATATTTTTTATCAAAAGATAAATATACACTATTGTTAATAGATATCATTGATGAGGAAGGGCGTGAAAGGGAATACAGAGTTTGGACAAAGCCACGAGAATAATACTACTGGATTTAAACGATATTATTCTATAAATCTGATTGGCCTCCTTATCCTTATCAAATATCCTGTATCAACGCATCACAGAGACCCAACGATATGATAACATTTTCAAATTCGATCACTTACAGAAGAATTGAAATTGATAATTGGTAGGATAAGGTATATAAATTTGTTTCATTTATCATAATTCTCCCACAACGCTGTTTCTGATCGGGAATGTAACATGACCGACATTAATCGACAGAAGTATCCAACTAATCAGCATTATACATGATTAAACAAAAAGAAATGAGAGAGAAGGTTATCACCAAGTTTGATCCAAATTATAACCTGTCTTCACTAAACATGCAAAAATTATTATTATTATCGGCTAGCCTCTCATAGGTCCTGATGAAAACAGAATTGTAGATTGTACAAAAAACCAGATAAGCGTTTTACATTACAGTTTAGAATAAGATACGGTTGACAGTCGCCAGAACACTGACGTTCGTCGGTGAGACGATACCCGGACACGGGAGGAGTCACGGAGACGGAAAACCTGTCAATCAATCAATTAATCAATCGATCAATCAATCAACCAATCAATCAATCAATCAATCAATCGATACAGTAAAGCCAAATTACGATGAAGTAGATTGCACCATTTAACTGTATCGTCATTCTAAGACTCATCAGTGATGTTAAAAGCTTAAAAGATACGTCTTGTATTGTCAAGTTAACACGGATATTTATCTGTTTTAATATCATATTAATTAAAAAAAGACGTATTTTTTCCGTGACCAGTGATACACAAAATATTTAAGAAACTTGATAATATAAAGAAATATTTTGTACTCATTAAATGATTGTGTTGCTTTAATATCTCGTCATATTTTTGAATGATAAGCATGTGCATGCAATCCTTAGCAACGAAGTGTCTCGCCACGTGAAGTAGCCTTGGGCACGAAGTTCTCGTTCACCGGCGCGACACGCCCAATTGGTTATGCACCTATGAACTCTCATATCGTCATCGATAGCCTTTTTCCTGAACTGCAAAGTTAAATGATATTCTTTTATTTACAGGGGAGTTTTCATGTGTATGAAATTGTTTTCATTTAAAATAAATTCCTTCACAGATATTTTAATGAACAGAGATCTTTAAGTTGTGACCAGTACAAACTGCAACCATTGTGAAAACCACGTTTTATTTCATCGTTGTGCTTGACGTCTATAAATTAGTTACGGCAGTTGGAAGACTGCCATCGGAACACTAGGATGAAATTAACGTCACTATTTCTGAAAAAAATACATTCTTGTGATTGTTATTTTTTATATTAGAAAAGTCTACAAATTAAAGCTAACCATTGTAGTTATAAGATATATATATATAGACATATACATTAATATGCTTGTGAAGAGAGACGAGCAATGAAGATATAACGAATGTCTCTCCTAAATACATTGCCCTTTAGGGGATTTCCTTGAATTATTAATGTTCACGAATGTTAATTCTCATGATAACTGGAAATCGCGATGGTCTTTCCGTGTGACCCAAACATGAATACGTTACGACAGATTTCATCATCGATATATATATATATATATACCAGTCATCAACTGATCGACAAATTAACCCTATTTCATCACTGTTATCAATTCTATTTCCAAGTCAGCAGGGAGTGACTATGAGAATTTCCAATATGACAATCACTGGGCGGTGCTTCAACAAGACGTGCCTAACACTTTTCCGTAATATCCACACCGCTGTGTTTTACATCTGATCAGCCTGGATACACCTCGACATCCCCTCTTTTCATCCCCTGACCATTAAACCATATTCTACCGCTGACCATTCACTCTGTGACCTATATCTACACAAAAATATCACAGACGATATAAAAAAAATTAAAAAAGGTAAGTATGTTCATGTGGAATTTTGCTTTCCAGCCGAATGTAGTGTCTAACGCTTAATCACAGACAGTATCTCTACATTCAAAAGTATGACATACATTTATTTGAAGTGTTCCATGAAAATGAATGTTTTTGTTTCTAGTGAAGAAAATGCGAGTTATTTAAAACAAAATTAAGAGTTTATGTAATTCTATCGAGAGAACGAGATGACTTTCTTCATTACTCTAACAATGATGTATTGTTCCCCAATTAAGCTATGACACTTCTACAAAAGACGATATTTCCCGTCATCCACCGAAGGCAAGTTTTAACGACTTAAAGCGGAGATGTGACAAGTTTAACTAGCTAAATTCACTGAAACATACAACTCGACAATGAATTTGATTATTCCGCCGGCTTTTCATGGATGACGTTTCAACTTTATTTTACCGTAACAAAAATACATGTTAACAGAAACAATTAAGAAACATGCAAATCATTTTAGGAAATAAAATGGTAGTGGTCAGTTTTCTAAATTTCTATATATAGCATCGCTATATAACAGTGTGCTTGTCGGCTCACGAACATGCATTTGTATTTGCCGTCCTGGTGGGTTTGACAACACCGTCAACAAGAATTAAATAAAATAAACACAACATGCACGATATTACACATTTTAAGTTTAACTTACCTATAACTTAATACAGGGCCTCCATTTCCAGGTAAAAACATGATCCTGTTACAGGTAACTTGATTGGTCTGGAAAGCAAATCGTGGTAGGTGTTAGGCTAACATAAACGGTATCCAGATGCTACAGTTTCCAAAGTCTTGGTTTTTACCGATCTTTATTAACTTCTGAGTATTGGTGTGTCCAAAGTAACACTTCTAACCATAGTGTTCGCCGATAGTAATTCAGCGAAGATCTGTAAAGTGAACCGTGACGTATCAGCGAGGCCTCCTGGGTGATGAGTACCCCGGGGGTGACTGGGAAACTGTGTAAAAACCTGGAAAAGGCCCCTCAATACATGTCTTCAGTGATGCATCAAAACAACTATTTAACGATATTTAAATTCTCAACCACACGTCTGACAGGAGCTGACCGAGGGATTTCTATCACTCAGAGCAGCAAGCTAAAGGATGTCACAGAAGGACACTATTTATCACGCTCTAAGAGATGTCCAGCCTCACGCCCCCGTCTTTATCTCAACGTGCACTTCTGGTTTATATGTTGGAGAAACAGTCGAATTCCACAATACAACAGCCAACCATTAATCAATTAGAAAGCTGGTAGGGCAACAGGACACTGGTGTGAGGTACGGGTTCAGTTACAATGTCGCCAAACTGTTGCCCTTCGCTTCAATTAAACAAATACCAGACGTGGCAATCGCGGTGTATTTTCGCCGATGACCCAGATTTAAACATTAGTTGGCTGTGATTTTGTTTAGAAGATCGAGTGTTAATTGAATTCTATTTGGCCTTTATAAACAATGAAACGCGTGGAAAAAATTTATAATGAATTAAAAAAAACATTGTTGTCAATTTTATCCGTGAAGCCGACGCTGCAAGATGTCATAAATAGACATGATGACACCAAGAAATGACGTCACTGATAGAGGTACCCCAATGAGGGGCCATTGGCCCTCACGTCGCCAGAACACTGCCGTTCGTCGTTGAGAAGATATCCGGACACGAGAGGAGTCATGGAGACGGAAAACCTGTCAACCAACC